ATGAAGTTCCTAAAGGTTATAGAAACTGCTGACTTGGAAGATGTATAGACATGTTCTTCCTTTCTTTACATGAGACTCTTTCCTATCACTCTCATTTCCTGTCATTAATTATTGTGAATTCACTCTTTGATCTTCAGAGATCAACTGATCAGGTTATCAACTCACTTGCAAGAAATATATTATATGATTTCTTGTCACAAATAGTAATAGAAAATTAGCGGTCCATTTTCTGATGGCATCTTAGTGAAGGTGAATAAAATGGCAGTGCTTTTTGCAATTCTGTGGATTAATTTTTTTGTGACAATCTGTATTGATGTTTCACTCTACACATGCTATCATAGGCTTTCTTCTCATGTTCTTTTAATAGTACTTCAAGATTTCTTTATCAATCAGTCCATGTAAACGTGGACAGAAAAAAAAAAAGCCTGGAATGTGTTTGATATTTTAATATTTATTATGGAACTTATTTTAAAAATTCCAAGGCTATCTTTCCAAAAATTGATAATAAGAAAATTCACAGTGCTTTAAAAACAAACAGATTAAATGCAATTTAAATGTAACTGCTACAATCCTTCTATCAACTAGTTTAAGAGCTGAAAAAGATACTGCATATAATCATGTACACTGGAAAATCTATGATTAGCTTCCAGAATTTGTTATTCACAAAAGGGGCTGGTAACAGTTAATTAGGCCAAATTTATGAGGAGATAAAGAGCAACAAACGCCTTTGATTTCTGAATGAAAAAGAAAAGTGAATCCAATAATACATCTCATGAATTCATTTCACAAACCATGAGAAGGAAAAAAAACAGAGGCTACTCGAGACTTGCGTCACAGCCAGATGGAACGCGGAAAGGCAGGGCTTTGCTTTCTGCGCCCGATTTCACCCTACTGGGGGCCCTAAAAGGGCCTAAAATCGTCCCGAAGAGGCGATGAAGAAGAGGGGTGCCTTGTTGATCATGGAGAGACAGCGGTCTTTCCTTTTGATCCAAGGAAGGCCCTCCAAACTGGCAGGGGAAAGACCGGCTACATTCCTGTGCCTGGCCATTAGCTGCTGACAACCGAAAAAGAAAAAAGCACTACTTAATACATTGTAAACAGCATGTTTGGAACTGGGTGAGAATATTGATCCTTTCTTTACTATTTTACAACTGAATTTCCTGGAAAAGGCTCCCATGAAGCTAAAAACCTCCAAATGTAAATGGAAGCGGCGTTTTATTTTTATGGGGGACGGAAACATACAATAATGAAGTAGAAGTAACATAAAGCTACAGTTTTGATAAATTTGAGAACTGAGATAACTGTTAAGATTTTCTCTTTGAAAAAAAAATGAGGCAAAATATAAAAAAAATCAATTCTTTGTTTTAAGAGTGGAAAATGGACTTTGAATGACATCTAGTGGTGGATTTGTGTATAGCACTATAATTTGCTTCCTGGCTGCTTGGTGATTCCTAGCTTGGGAGAACAACTGGCAATAAAGGAAAATATTTTGGCACACTTATCACCCTGACCTTCTTGGATTACAAATACCTAATGAGCTTGGACTTTTAACTTCAAGAGCTAGTGGGAGAGAAAAAAAATTGACCTAGGACTATGCTTGGCTGAGAGAGACTTTTGAGCTGTTTTCAGAGAGGTTGAACATTTTGAACACTTTGAACATTGTGGATTACAACCTTGCCTGATTGTCAATTTTTGGATACTTGAGACAAAGGATTGCGATAAAATATTGCTTTCAGAACTGAACCTATATTTTGGAATCTATTGGATTATAAAGGATACATATATAGACCAGAAAACTAGAGGAAAATTCGATCTACTCTTACTGAGTCTGGTGATACTAGAGGAATTTCAGGAATCATGCCTCAGGAAAAAAAACAAACACCTTTCAGAAAGAAATATATTCTATGCTATAAATAAAAAGAAATCATAATGAGACTAAAAATAATTTAGACAATGTAAACGAGCAAATCTCCAAATTAAATCTACAACTAGAAAGTTCCCAGATAACGACTACAAAGTATGAACAAATAATCCAGAAACCAGAAGATGAAACAGAGGAAATGGATTTAGAGATAGAAGAGATAAAAGAAGGGAAATATAAATGACTATATACAAACAAAATACTGCAAGACTTAGCAAAAACAATAAAAATGCAAAAAGCCTTTTACCCCTTATACGCAAAATATATCTGATGACAAGGAAGAAGATTTTAAAAAGGGGAATATAGAGTTGTTAAGGGAAATGTCACAATTTAGGAGACAGGGAATGAAAAAAGAAAAGGTGGGATTCCCCCTCAAAAATACCCTACCTAAATTGTCTTCCTCATGCCAAGCAATTTTTACAAAAATAGAAACAAAATTCCTGGGCGATCTAATTGCCCTGGCTTGGAAAGCGACTTGGCAAAGAAAGAAAGCGAGAGTCATATTTAAAAAAAACAGAAGATTTGACCTTTTAGAGGGGGCATTATATGTTTAAATACTTGTTTGAATAAGTTTAAAAGAACAGATGGCCTTTAGATATAATTAGACTTTTATAATGAACCATGTGATTTAGAATTAAGTTAGCATTTTCTCTCTCTTTTTTGATATGGGAAATATGAAGATAAGAGGAGGATTGATTTGAATAAAACTTTTAGCTATATAAATATAATTAATATTGAGAAAATCATAACTGATAGATATTTCAAATACTGATGGGAAATCAAATTTTAACAAGACCATGAAAAACAGGATATTGATTATGAATTGACATTATTGATTTATGAATTGATATTATTTTTATTTGTATGATATTAGTAAAATATGATGAAAATGCTTATATCTAACTTTGTATACATTAACAGTACCAAAAATTGTAATGGTGTAATGAGGGGAAAATGGAAAAAATATGGAGAAGAAAGGAGGATTAGAGAAAAAATACTGGATTATGTAGTATTGAACAGATTTATATTGAAGAAGTTAATGTTAAATATTTGAATCCAGACAACATGTTGTTTACTAAGTACTACAGACTGTAATTAATAAAACTTTTATTAAAAAAACTCAGCGGCTACTCAGTACATTTGAAGATACAGTATTGTAGATATATTGTTGCCTTAATCTAAGTATCTGTTTTTCAGATCTGTTATGATTTGGACTAAGACATAATGCTAGAATAGAACAAGTAACATTCTGGATGATGAACTGCAGATCCAAACTCTGAACAAAAAATTATGATGCAATTTCATTCATCAATTTAATAGCACCGTAAACTGTAAACTTTAGCAAGCCGAAGTCAAAAATAAAACTTATTTTTCTATTTCTTTCAAATCCTGTCTCCATACAAATCAACATTTCAATTTAGTTTTCTTTTTTAATTTAAATACAGAAACAAAAGATAAGAAAATTAAGGGAAGATAATTGCAGGGTTGAGGAATTAATCTTTTTCTTTTCTTTTTCCTTCTGTTTTTCCTGCAAATATTTGCAAAGTTTATATCTTTATTGTGAATAATATAATCTGGACAGGAACATGAGTGGGCCAAAAAGAGAGAATATCTTAGAAATATACCATGTTGACATAAGATCTCAAAGAATTTGAGATACAAATCGAGATACAATAGATAAAAAATGAAATAAAAAGATTTGTATAGCAAGTAAATCTGGAAAGAGTTACACAAAGTAAGGAAAATATCACTACCTATCTGAAATTGTTATCAAGCCTGCTAATCAAAGTTTGAGATTAGCTTCATTCAAAGTTTTTGTGCTATATAAAACTTTCACAAAAACTCTCAGCTGATTTATTATATATTTCCATATCTTACAATGATTGAATTATTGCTTATGAATATGCTGACATATCTGCATGTCACATCACTAAATATCTATTTCTGCAAAGTCTGAATTGATATATCTGAAATAACTGACTTTCAGATGCTGTTTTTTTCTCCACTTCATATGTCTCTTTCAATCATACAATGTTGTGTAGGTAGTACAGCTGCAAATTTTTCAAAACTCTTGACTGACATGTTTGGGAAATCCATTTTCTATTCCTTGTTTAGATTTTAAATTTAACATCCCTCCAAATTTCCTCTATCTTTATCATCATTTAGTTATCCACTGAGAAATTTTATTTAGCAAAACTAAGTGGAAAACCTTTGAATATAATTGGCAAGCATGCAATACTGACTTTGCTTACTATCATTAATGTCTTCAACATATCTTACAAAAGGCCACCCTCAGGATATTTGCTTTGTAATCCTAATCATTTTAGGCTTTTCAGAATATTTGTTAATCACTTTAAAAATCAATTTACCCTTGCAACCACTTCCGGAACATATGAATGGTTCTGCATCTTCTCACAGAAATAATAGAATCTGTATACAGGTTATATAGATATGGATAAATGTTTGTGCTACATAAAAGATATTGTTATTTTTATGAAGGTGAAAGTATCATGATTAATTCACAAAGAAATAAAAGCTCCGAGGGAAATCAATTCAGTGATTGTCCAGTTTGAAACAAAAAAACATGACTAGCTTGCTTATCCAACTAGCTTATCTAACTTTCCTTTTTATAGTTCACACTGGAAACAGTCCAACATTTAAGAGCACTGATTAATTGTATTAATTAGAGAGTAGGCTAAAATTTCATAACAAGGATTCCAATGAGTGCCCTATCGAAAGTAGAACACTCTGCATCTGATTATTTTCTTGGTAATTGTTAAATTTTTAAATTAGTATAAAAGGTAACCTGCATATTGGCTCAGACTGAGCAATTATTACGTTAAGATGCTCTCTGCAAATTTTAAACATGCAAACATATTTATTTATCACACTGAAAACATTTGAGATATTCAGCTGGTGAAGACCATGTAGCAAAACCATGATTTGTTGAAAGGTTGGTGATCTAAGAAAAGTGTATCAAATGGTCCATTTCCATTTACAAAAGTAAACAACAGAATTATGATGATACATGACAATTGTAGAAATCCGAACTAGTAACACTCCTACAAAAGGAATCCATTTAAAAATGGTTACCTAGATACATGTAAGAATCTTCTCCATCAACAATTGGTTTCACCCAGGTTGACCGAGGAGCAGTTGCTGTTATCAACTTGAGACCAACAGGGGGATACAACATGAATGCAATTTCAACTACTTGAGTCTTATTAAGGCTTATGTTTTTTGAACCAGAATCTGGAAAAAAAACAGATTTTTTTGCAATAAACAACAATTTCAATTCTATATCATTTCATTTATTTATAGAATTCATTGCCACAAGATGTGGAACTGTCACTAGTTAAAAGAGAGATAAGATGGAGAATAAGCATGTGCCTGTCATCTCACATAGCTATAGTATATAGTACAGAATTTTCCAATTCATCAGTGACAGCATTAAACTGATACTAGATTCTGGAAAATAAGAGAACAAGTTACTGCCAGTTTTTATATGAGGAACTGGATACACAGTATATGTTTATTATGTTAATCAGGGCATCCATTCAAATTAAAAGGAAATCAGATGAGGAGGAGAAACACATAATTGCTAGTCATCTTGCAGTTTATCGTATAACCTTTACGACTATCGTGTTTCTTCTAATATTTGCCACTCAGTAATTTCCAACCATTTTTTTCCAATCGTGTCTTATGGTACATAGCACACCAAGTAATATGTATTCCAACTTCTGAGCAAAACTATGGTAAACTGGGTGGGAACATTCTGTAACTGTAATTTCTTTACCTTTGTGTTATCCAAAAGGACCAGAATTTGGTTCTGAAAATATTATTCTGTAATCACAGACACTTGTTGATATTAGAAGGTCATAAAACAAGCATAACAATATGAAATTTCCAAGATGACCTTTGCTACCTCTAATATTAATTGTAATAAGCATGCAACGTTTGATGAAAGAAATTAATAAAATCTTTACCCATTTCTATATATATATTTAAGTTGAGATGTTTAATATTTTTCTTACCATAATAAACACAAACTTTTCTTCTATATAAAGAAAAGATAATATATCAAGTAATACATAATGGCTGTATTGTACAAAATATCACATGTTGCAATATAATATAGAAACTATTTGGTTTAGCATATATATTTTAAGAATCCAAGTTTGACAAGCTAAGTCCTCCAGATATACTGAACCTGAATTTTTATCTTAAACTATCAAGTGGAAACAGATTGCTATTCTGGTCCAGATTGAGGCAGGCTGAAATAAATAAAGTTACATTTTAGCCAAAGTTCTAGTCCAAACTAATAAAATGAATGTCAAGAACTCTTAAATATATAAGCTCTGAAAATATTACCACAGAAACCATTTTAGTGATGGGGTTTATTTTCTTCAACATGAAATAAATGAATATCATATATTTTGTCACATCATTTTTATTGAACAGTCCAGTTCATTAGTAATAAAAATGGTAAACACAGCCATTCATTCATCAACATGAAAACTACTGTATTCATATGCTAACAAAAGGGAATGCAACAAACACTGCCTTTATTCCTAAATTAATGAAGCATCTGTTGTTTAATTATGTCTTCTTAAATAGAAATGTATCTATAAGCACATTAATGAAGATTCATAAGGTCAAGACTAGCAGGTGAAAGTGAAACTGTTTAAAAAGTCATTTCAAGGCATGTCAGCAAAGGTTTGTAATTAGGAAAAACAAATAAAAGAAGTTAGAATTGCTAGTTTGGAGAATATAGCACCTTTCTTCTGCCAAAATACAGTCCCATTATGGTTCTGTAACAGAAGGTAAAGGATGGGATTGCAATATGTGAACACATTATGCAAGAGCTAACAACCTTTGTCAGATCCTGTTAACTCTTTATGGAGTGCCATTTCACATATTGTAACTTGGACCAGGAGGATATGATTACAGTTACTGCATTAATGCATGTTCATGGATAGCATCAAATAATTAAAGAAAAAAACTGGCAAAAAAGTAGGAGCAGAAAATTAGAAAGCCTTCAAATATGAAGAAAAGACATTTGTTTTTTTTTTAAAAAAAATTGTTTACAATATACAATATTACAAATTTACATTGTATCAAACCTACTGAATAAAATTCACAATATTTTACTGTTTTATTCGGTAGGTCTGATATAATGTAAATTTGTGATATTCAAAACATTTCAGTTTTTAGGCATTCACATTTCAAGAAGCTTGTTTTGGGATTAAAACAAAACTTAGTGCTTTAAGTGGCATCAGTTGCCTACTCCAAGTATGCCTGCTATTTAATTGGATGTTGTGTTGGGACTTATGGCTGAATTGCTTTTCTTCAACCTTGTTCTAGCTTAACCAGCATAGTGTCAGGAACTAGTTATATCCCTGCTGCTATGGGTGATGGAGTGTTGAGAAAAAACAGCAGTTAAGCACATGGCCATGCAGAAGATTGCTTGTAGTTGCATTCCTGCCAAGCTACTTGGCAAGTTATTGCTTTTATTTTTTAAAAGTCTTTCTATAGGAAAGCTGAAGGTCATGTTGGTGGGTGGCTGCAATTTCTACTGGGTTTCACACAAAAATGTTGCTAATGCTGTTGAGCAGAAATTAGAATCATGTTAATTTAGTTGTTTTGAGCTTTGTTTTACTTTTCTGTGTTTATTACTATGCTGAATTTCTAAACAGCATTATAAAATGCCAAAACTGAAGATTCTGCATTGCCTCTTGTGCTCCTGTGCTGCTAAGTTTTTGTTTTCTTTAACTTCTGCAGTGTGTATGGTTATATGTATGTTGATGGATAAGAATGTGACTATGTATAGGGTTACATGAGATTGTTCTTGCTCTCTTGTGAGCTTTTTGAATATATTTTACCTGCTGGGTATAGAACAGATTTTTGCTAATATATTGTAATTATAAAGCAAAAATGTAAGCACCACATTGGGTACAGCATAAACATATTAATAATTTTTTGCCTGCCAAATGTTCTAAAGTAGGTAAATGATGTAGATCAGTGGTTCTCAACCTGTGGGTCGGGACCCCATTTGGGGTTGAACGACCATTTCACGGGGGTCGCCAGACAAGGCTGTCCGCCATTTTTTCCCCCTTTCCTTTGGCCACGCCCCTGGCACCCGGTGATGTATAAGTGGTTGGGGGTCACCACAACATGGGGAACTGTATTATGGGGTCGCGGCATTAGAAAGGTTGAGAACCACTGATGTAGATAATATGTTAGTTTCCTTATAGGCTAAGGGGCTTTATTTAACAAAGTGAAGATTGGTTCTCTAGCAAGAAAGCCAAATGTTCTTGTTAAATTTGTTTTAATTCTAGTCTTTCAGAAATGTTTTTAAACAATACCACTGGATGGTTTTATGCAGATTGGCTGGCTGATAGCTTGAAGCCCCATCTATTCTCGTAGTAGTTGTATGAAAAATAAAAGAGCAAAAAAATCATACTATAGTGTATTGTTTCCTATAGCTAAAATATTGAAATGTGTTTTGTTTCAACTACAAATGGAATACTTAAAAACTGTTTCATTACATCAAGACACAAACCATACAGAAAGCTTAGGTGGCATGTTTTAGTTGGAGATATTCTATTCCAATCTCAGCAAAACCTGTTTTCCATTTTCATTTATCACCATACTGTAGAAATACTATAAGAAGTTCTGGCCTGATGCTCACTTATACAAAATAATTCAATTTTCCATTGAGAATTCAGTCTAAACAAAGAAGGCATACCTGCTTTAATAGGCAGTATAAAAATATTGAGCTCCTCAATAAAAGTTAACTTCATTTTGTTTTTTCAGCATTTCTTTAACCAATACACTACATTTGCTATCATAAAATTCTAATGAATAATTAAAATGGCAAGTGGTTGGGTTTTTTTCTTCCATTCAATTGGTTCTGAATTTTGGAAAGTGCCTAGATGAGGGGTCCCCAACCCCCCAGTCCATGGACCAGTACCGGGCCACGGCATGCCAACAACCAGTCCACACAAACAAGCAAAGCCCCATCCACAGGATGCAGGCAGTACTCAAAACCACGCACCTTTCGGTCCATGGAATAACTCTCTCCACGGAACCAGTCCCTGGTGCCCAAAATGTTGGGGACCTCTGGCCTAGACAAGTCCTTGCAGTTTTCTTAGTAAGTTTTTTTCAGAAATGGTTTGCCATTGCTTCCTTCCTAGGGCTCAGAGAAAGTGACTGGTCCAAGGTCTAAAGTGGACCTAAGGTAGAACTAGAACTCAGGCTCTCCCAGTTTCCAATCTGATGCCTTAACCTTTACACCAAATTGACTTTCAAGTAGGTGCTAGCAAATGATAAAAAGTGTATATATTTTTTCTTGACAAAAAATCATAAAATAAAATTACAATTTGCATGATTCTACAACAAGAAATGTGATGTACAGCATCCTTTTCAATCATACAGACATGACTATGAGTGGCTCTTGATCTTAGGGAAGCTTTCCTTAGCCCATTAAACAATTTAAGTCTTTAATCATCATTGTGGAGTGAAAGTTTTTTGTTTTTTTCTTCAGGCAAAAAGAAGAGAAGTGTGGGGAAGAAGCAGAGGATTATATGGTATACAGAAGGTGGTATGTGTAATGCATCATCATTATTATTAATGTTTATTGCTAACTTGGTCAAATGGTCAAGGCACCAGGCTAGAAAGTAGGAGACTGTGAGCTAAAGCCATTAAAGCCAGCTGGGTGACTTTGAACCAATCACCACTCTCGTAGCCCAACCCACCTCACAGGATTGTTATTATGGAAAAATAAGAGGAAGGGTGCGTCAGATATGTTTGCTGCCTTGAGTTTTGTAAAAATAATAAAGATGGATACAAATAAATAAATAAAATAACAGTATTTAAACATATTTGTATTATACCCCAAACAGTATTTCTGGTCTCTATGATCAACAGAAATTTTCCTCAAACTATAGTATTTTATTAAAATGTGAGCATAATTTGCAAAAGATTAATAAACAATTTGTCTGCAACAAAAGGTGAATGACATTAAATTGATTTCTCTGAAAGCTGTGACTTACATTATTAATTAGACTTCCCATTGTGCAAATGATTAATAAGAGAAGGAAAGAGATTCAGTCACACACAGAAGGCAAATACGAGAATCTTTTAATAAGAAACCATTTGTACAATTTCAACGTAGCATAATAAAGTTATTGAGTACTGTTGAAAATGTTTGAAAATAGTTTACTGTACATTTAATGTGGGTTCCCTCCATT